GCAGCTCCGGAGCTGCAGTTTGCTGACTCCTGTCCTAGAAGATGGTTCTGTTGCTTTATCTGCCGTTGGGGTGTAGCGTAGAGCCCTCTTTCGCCTTCAAAACTGTTGGATGTCTTCTGCAACCCTGGAAAGGGGGTCCTTACGAGGTGCTACCAGCCGGGCCAGCTGGACCAAGGTTTTTTTAAGGAGGTGTTCCTCCTCCATCACTCACCCTTTGTCCTGGCTTGTGACAGGCAGAGCCTGGCTTCCCAAGTGCTGGGCCCAGGATGGCGGGTTTTTTCTTATAGTATGCAAACTTTTTTTAAAATTTGCTTCTGAGAATTGGGCCATTTCTGCCTGATCCACTGGATTTGAGAGTACAAATAGTCCTTGACTTACGACCTCAATTGAGCCCAAAATTTATGTTGCTAAGCGAGACATTTGTTAAGTGTGTTTTGCCCCATTTTACGACCTTCCTTGCCACAGTTATCCAGTGAATCACTGCAGTTATTAAGTAATTAACACGGTCGCTAAGTGAATCTGGCTTCCCCATTGACTTTGCTTGCCAGATCACAAAAGGTGATCCCCAGGATGTTGCAACCATCATAAATAGGAATCAGTTGCCAAATTGTCTGAATGGGTGGGTGGGTCACAAGTCACTTTTTGAACGGTCAGTAAATGAACTGATGCAAGGACTATCTATCTAGCCTCCAAATCTTAAAAAAAACAAAACCAGTGCCGTTAGTTGTAGAAAAAAAATCTTTATGACTTCCTTTAATTTTGGTCACCATAGACAGAAAAGAGGTTGAGACTTTGGAAAAAGTTCAGAGATGAGCAACTGAGATGATCAAAGGCCTGGAGACTAAAACATACGAGGAAGGGCTGCAGGATTCGGGTCTGGCTACTCTAAAGAAAAGAAGAATTAGGGGTGACACGATAGCAGTCTTCCAGTATTTGGGGGAGGGGGGCTGCCACAAAGAAGAGGGGGAGGGCAAATTATTCTCCAAAGCACCAGCGGGCAGGACAAGGAACAACGGATGGAAACTAATCAAGGAGAGAAGTAACCTGGAATTAAGGAGAAACCTCCTATCCGAACAATTAACCAGTGGAACAGCTTGCCACCAGAAGCTATGGCTGCTCCATCACTGGAGGTTTTTAAGAAGGGTCTAGACCAGAGGTGTCAAACTCCTGTCGTCACATGATGTATCCCCCTTTGCTAAATCGAGCGGGAGCCAGCGACCCATAGACCGGGAGATTGACAGCCTTGGTTTAGACAGTCACTTATCTGAAATCATATAGGACAGGTTCTCCTGCTTGAGCAGAGGGCTGGACTAGAAGACCTCCCAGGCCCCTTCCAGCTCATTCATTCTATTCTAATTTCAACAACCCCATGACTTGATTATTAACCAGTCCCATTATAATGCTGCTCATTGCACGAGTCCTTCCGAACCACGGACTTCAAAGCTACAAAATTAACCGTTGATCCGTGGAAGATGCTTAGATTTCATCCCTGATTTCCTGGGCATCTCACTGGACCAGAAGGGGAATCCTCGAGAAGAATAAGGCACAATGCTACAGGTGAGATGTAGGAAAAACTTGTCCTCTTGGAGCAGTTTGAGTACTGAGTAATGTCAGAGTTTGGGGGGTGAAGGGAGTCGTTTCCTTTTGGGGATAAGGGGAGTCGCAACCTGCCTCCTTACAGGGCTATAAAACTAAACTCTGTGGCTAACTGACATGGACCGATTGTCTTTTTTATTTTATTTTTTTATCTTGCCTGAAAAAGGGGTTGAATCGGGAAATTTTTAGCCGTAATTCACCTTTTGTTGAGAGTGGAAATGTGTATCTCTCTATTGTGTTTTAAGGACGCAGTGGCTAAGACGCTGAGCTTGTCAATCAGAAGGTCGGCAGTTGGGCGGTTCAAATCCCTAGCGCCGCGTAACGGAGGGAGCTCCCTTTTCTTGTCCCAGCTTCTGCCACCCTAGCCGTTCGAACGCACATAAAAAATGCAAGTAGAAAAATAGGGACCACCTTTGGTGGGAAGGGAAGAGAGTTGCCTGCACCTTCGGCATTGAGTCATGCTGGCCACATGACCACGGAGATGTCTTCGGACAGCGCTGGCTCTTTGGCTTTGAAATGGAGATGAGCACCGCCCCCTAGAGTCAGGAACGACTGGCACATATGTGCAAGGGGAACCTTTACTGTTGTGTTTTAGTTCCTCTTAGGATATGAGTTACCCCAAGTGTGGAGTTCCCTTTTAGGATGGCTAACTAAGTATCTGCCTCAAGCTCTTTTTCTGGGTTCACACTCCACTGAATCCTGTGCTAACACAGGTAGTCCTCCACTTACAGCCACAACCAAGCCCAACATATCTGTTGCCAAGTGGGACAGTTGTGAAGTGAGTTTTGCCCCCATTTTACAACCTTCCTTCACTGTTGTTAAAGTGAATCACTGCCGTGCTTAAATTAGCAACACGCTTGTTAAGCCAATCTGGCTTTTCATTGACTTGAGTGGTCAGGGGGTCGGAAAAGGAGATTGCATGACCACCGCCTCCACCCTGGGATGCTGTGACCGTCGTAAATACAAATCACTTGCCCAACATCTGAATTTTGATTATTTGACCATGGAGATGCTAGTGTGAAATACAGTCCTTGGTCCCTTTTTTTTTTTCCCCCAGCCGGGCTGTTCTAACTTTTGAACTGTCACTAAACTAGCTGTTGTAAATCGGGGACTACCTGCAACAGAGGCTGGGGCCGCCTTGACAAGTTTGCTACTTTTAAGCCTGCATGTTTAGATTTGAAGGCATTTTCGAAACCTGCTTTATTAAACGGAGCCCGTTTGGCTCGCTTGGGGACACCCTGCCTGAGTCGACAACCGCGAGTGGCGTCACAAAAGCGGGATTTGAACCCGGATCGTCCCCCGGACCCGAATTAAGACTCCCCAAAGTGCCGGGAAAGATGGGTCACGAACCTCCAGCCCTTTTAAAGCCTAGCTTGGATGCGATGCCCACGTGGGAACGAAGCCCCCCCCCTTTTCCCACGGCTCCAATTTCGAGCGGCAGCCGGGAAACATCGCGTCCCCAAGGTTGGATCGCGACCTGGCGGCCTCGGGCATTGTTGATCGCTTCCCCTACCTATCCCTCCGTCCTCGCACCCGCCGGGGAGGGAAGGCGAGAAGCGTCCGGGCAGGCGGGAGGTGGGATCGGCTAAGCAGAGACGCCTCGCAGCATTGGTCGGTCTGTGCCCGGCCGCTCGGGATCTGCGCAACCGGTGACGCTCCGAGACGAGACTCCGCGACCCGTTGTAGCCCGCCGTTTGTCTCGGGATCTCTACCCGGGAGAATTTCCGCCGCGTACGACGATCGGTGGGGGCGTCGCCTCCCCAGCCGCCCCTTTTTTTTTTGCCGACTCTAAAGCCGTAGATGGACGATCTTGCATTTCACGAGAAAGAAAGAAATTCTCTTTACAGCCATTCCCGAGTTAAAATGACCTCCTCCCCAATTTAAATCGGGGGTTTCCCACTTCGGCAACTTTACGACTTGTGGACTTCAACTCCCAGAATTCCTCAACCAGCTATGCTGGGAATTGAAGTCTACAAGTCGTAAAGTTTGGATTCTGGGAGTTGAAGTCCACAAGTCGTAAAGTTGCCAAAGTTGGAGACCCTGATTTAAAAGATGTTTCTCCACAAAGCCTGAAGGCATCCTTCCCAACATAACGCATTTAATGAAAAGCTATTCCCCTTGCTGCCTGGGGACTTCTGGGAGTTGAAGTCCACACGCCTTCAAGGTGCCAAAAGTTGAGAAACAACTGGGTTAAACTGACATAGGATTTGAAAAGGGGTGGTGGTGGTTATGCAGTAGTAACCCCATTAGCGGGGGTGTGTGCAGAGGACAAATTATCAACAAGGGAACATCCTACAACAAAGAGCTGCAGGTTTCAGAGTTGCCGTTTTAGAATAAAACTATGGGGGCATTTTAAGGGGTAAAGCTTGGTAATGGCATCCAAAGATGCAGCTATATTTGAAAGACTGAACACTGGGCTTTTGACGTATTACAGGGATCTCCAACCTTGGCCATGCTGGGAGTTGAAGTCCACAAGTCGTAAAGTGGCCAAGGTTGGAGACCCCTGACATTACAATTGCCGATGTGCATAGTTGGTTAGAAAAGCTACCAAGTCCCGGAATCTCCTGTGCCTTAAAGGGAAATTAGAATCGGAGTCCTTAATCCCACATTGACGGGCCAGCATTCCAATATTGAATTATAACTTCCATTTATTCATGAAGACCTTCACGAATTCCTCTTTAAAAAGAGACGGGGAACAAACTTCTCCCGGAACCTTTGCGCGGCCGGTAAAGTTGCCGGAGGGAAATTGAAAGCCGTGGGCCTTTTTTTTTTCCTTCTTACGTAGGGAAGTCCTACCAGGAGGCGGGCGGCGACAGTGACGGAAGAGGGCGTGGCTAGCGCCGGAAGTTGCGCCGTAAGAGGGAAAACAACATGGCGCTGAGCGCGGCAGGTAACGCGGGGAGGGGGAGGAAGGCGTCGCCATGGCAATGGGCCTCCGGCCCGTCGACCAGCCGGAGACCGGGCCAGAGGCGATGGACAACGGGGAAGAGCAGGGGGGAGACTCGGGTTGCAGGCCCGGGCCTCGCCTCCACCGCGGCTTCCTCCTTCCCTTCCCAGGTCACGAGGACGCCGAATGGCAGCCGCCTTCCGAGGCCGAGCTGAAGGTGATCCAGGCCCGGCGCGAGCGGCAGGACAAGATCAGCAAGCTGATGAGCGAGTACCTGCTGAAGGGCTACCGGATGCTGGGCGAGTGCTGCGACGAGTGCGGGGTGAGCGAGGCCGCCACTGGGCATGTGCAGAGTGGCCCCGGTGGGAGACACACAAAAACGCACACACCCGCCCTGACGGTCACGTTTAGTTTAGTTTACTTTATTGTCATTGCACTTCGTACAACGAAATGAAATGACGTCTTCAGTATAGATTAGATTAGATGAACAGAGTTGGAAGGGACCTTGGAGGTCATCTAGTCCAACCCCCTCAATCAGGACCTTCCACCATTTCTGACCAATGACAGTCCAATCTCTTCTTGAAAGCCTCCAGGGATGAAGCTCCCACAACTTAAGGCAACTTCTGTTCCATGGGTTGATGGTTCTCACCTCAAGAAAATTCCTCCTTATTTCCAGGTTTAATCTCTCCTTGGTCAGTTTTCAGCCATTGTTCCTTGTCTGACCTTCAGGGGGTTTGGAGAATAGCTTGACCCCCTTCCTCATCTCTGTGGCAGTCCCTCAAATAGTGGAAAACTGCTATCCTGTCTCCCCTGGTCCTTCTCTTCCTTAGATTAGCCATGCCCAGTTCCTGCTACCATTTACCATATGTTTTAGCCTTCAGTCGCCTAATCATCCTGGTTGCTCTTCTCTGCACTCTTTCCAGAGTCTCAATGTTTTTTTATAGCGTGGTGACAAAACTGGATGTAGAATTCTAGGTGGGGTCTTATCAAGGCATTATAAAGTTCACTTTAACACATTAACAGAGTTGGAAGGGACCATACACCCCCGCGCGCCCTATCAGGAGACCCTACACTATTTCTGGCAGAGGGCAACCCAGTCTCTTCTTGAAAGCCTCCAGGAATGAAGCTTCCACAACTTCCGAAGGCAACTTCTGTTCCATCGGTTGATCATTCTCCATGTCAGGAAATTCCTCCTTATTTCCAGGTTTAATCTCTCATTCCGTTTCCATCCATTATTCCTTTTCTGGCCTTCGGGTGCCTTGGAGAATAGCTTGACCCCCTTCCTCCTTTCTGTGGCAGCCCCTCAAATATTAGGACACTGCTACATTATAGCTATAAAAATAAAAACACAAACACATATTCTTCACATGCTATATAATTGAAATTGAAAACCCCTGATATTGCATTAATATTGCACTATATAGTAGAATTCAATATAGTTACTGCCCTGGGATAGAAGCTGTTTTTCAGCCCATTTGTCTTTGTTTTTATTATCCTGTACCAGCTGCCAGATGGTAATAGTTCAAAAAAAAAGGGTGCCCATGAAGAAAGTTGTGGGGAAAAGAGGGTTTCTGCCTCAGGAAAGGGAGCAACTCAGTGATCAGACAAGACTAGAAGCGAGAACAATCAGGCTGAAGGAGATGCCCGGCTCCTGGATGCCATGGCTGATGCCAGGCTAGGCTGTGCCTGGCTCCCTGATGTTTCCGATGAACAGACTGTTTCTTTAAACCTTTCTTCAGGATGGCACAGATTGGGAATTGGTTGCAGGGGTGTAATTTGTGTTGGGCAGGCCCAGTATGAAAAAGCAGTTTCCTTCAGCAAGGGGTCGATGGGCTTTCCTTGTTCTCCCTTGCATGCATGCCCATTACGTGACTTTGGCAAAAAACAAACAAACCTCTGACTTCTACCCTTTTCTCTTCCCATTCTGCCCCCCCCCCCTCCCTTTGCCTTTTGGTCACTGAATTTCCTTCCAGACCATTTTGCTACAAGATAAGCAGAAGAAATTGTACTGCGTCGCCTGCCAAGAGCTTAATTCTGATGTGGACAAGGACAATCCAGGTATGGTGGGCAGAGGAAGTGGGGAGCTGTTTCTCTTCTTCACCTGCCCCACTTCGTGCAGTGGTCCTCTCAGAGTATATTGCCCTGTTACCAAAATGGATAACGGGAGCTGTTCTGTGCTTCTGCAGCACCAAATGGGAACAGCTTGGGTGGGTGGGCATCACGACATAAATGGCACTTGGCAATAGCACTTAGATTTATATACCGCTTCACAGTGCTTTACAGCCTTCTCTGAGCGGTTTACAGAATCAGCCTCTTGCCCCCAACAATCTGGGTCCTTTGACCCACCTCAGAAAGATGGAAGGCTGAGTTGACTTTCAGTCAGTCAGGATCAAACTCCTGACTGTGGGAAGAGTTTGCTTGCAATTCTGCGTTCTAACCACTGGGAATGAAGGAAGGAAGGAAGGAAATGAAAAGGAAGGAAAGAAGGAGGAAGGAAGGACAATAGCAATAGCCCTTAGACTTATATGCCGCTTCACAGTGCTTTCCAGCCCTCTCTAAGCTGTTTACAGAGTCAGCCTCTTGCACTCAACAATCTGGGTCCTCATTTTACCGACCTCAAAAGGACGGAAGATTGAGTTGACCTTGAGCCTGATGAGATTCTAACTGCCAAATGGCTGGCAGCCGGCAGTCAGCAGAAGTAGCCTGCAGTACCTCAATCTAACCACTGGGCCACCACAGCTCAGGGGAACCTTCCAACTCTTAACCCACTCATTGCGTTGGTAAATCATAAATTCTGAAATGCAGTTCGTCTGCGAAAGGAGCTGTTAGGCTGGTGTTTTGTGCAATTGCTTCAGATAAAAACTTGCACATTTTGTGCTGCTCTGACAACAAGTTGTTTTTGTGCTGTTCACTTTGCAAGTGGGGAAGGGACACCCCCCACCCCCACCCCTTTTTCTGCTGTGTCTGGAAGCATCTCGAGTACCCATTTGCTCCTGGAGAATCCGGGCAGATTTTTCCGCGCCATACGAAAAGATCCCTGGACTTTTCAGCAGCGTTTGCTGTTGTTGAACCCGAAAGCAACAGCCTCATGATGCCACCTCTTTGATCTTCTCTCTCTCCCTCTAGCGCTCAATGCCCAAGCAGCCCTTTCCCAAGTGCGGGAGCGCCAGCTTGCTGCCAACACAGATGAAATGGCGTCGCGCCCGGAGCATTGCGAAGGGGCAGCTTTGGGTCTCCGGTCAAATGCTAACCCTGACCCAGCCCTCCCGGCGTCCACTGCTGCCCCTAATGCCCCCTTGGCACGCAGCACCCTGGCTGCAGCAGAAGAGACCATTCTACAGAAGATCGACTGGGCAAGCCAGCATCTCCAAGAAACTACCTCTGTCGAGAGGAGCATCCAGTTTTGTGCACTCATCCGGGCCTGCACGGATGCTCTCAAGGGCATCAGGGAGCTGCCACAGTGAGGATGCCCCGGCTTGTAACGGCAGTGCCAGGCCTGGCATGGAGTGTAGGCCATGCCTGGGGTGCCAAAGGATTTCCCCACCACCACCACCATTCATCATAAGGGCTGGGTGATTTCAATATGACTGGGCTCTCCATCCTGATTAAAATGTGAGCTTTTTTCCCCACCCCCTTATACAAATTGTCCTGATGTTTGAGGAATGTTTCAGAGGATTTGCACGCACTGATCTATCTAACCCGGGACAAAGTAAGGATAGATAAAAGGGTTAAACTGGTTTGGGGAAAGGTTATGTTGGGGTTAGCAACCATCTTAGGCACTGAATTTGGGGCTCCTCTACACCCTTCAGCTTAAATCCGTTCACCATCCCGCTTGCCAGATCCAAAGATTTGAGGTTATCAGGACCTCCGTTGTGTTGTGGTGTATTTTTTTTTTGTGAAGCATTAAACGTTTCAAATTTCAAGGCACAAGATCATGATTGTGTGGTGTCGAATCTTCGCTGTTGTGAAGGAATCGGGTTTGGCATGTGCTCCCCCCCCCCCCCTGGCGTCTTAAAACTTTTAAACTTTAATAACCAATAGTTGGGATGCGGTGGCTCAGGGGCTAAGACGCTTGAGCTTGTCGATCAGAAAGGTTGGCAGTTTCAGTGGTTCGAATCCCTAGTGCCGCGTAACGGAGTGAGCTCTGGTTACTTGTCCCAGCTCCTGCCAACCTAGCAGTTTGAAAGCACGTAAAAAATGCAAGTAGAAAAATAGAGACCACCTTTGGTGGGAAAATAACCGTATTCTGTGCGCCTTCAGTGTTTAGTCATGCCGGCCACTTGACCCCGGAGACGTCTTCGGACAGCGCTGGCTCTTCGGCTTTGAAACGGAGATGAGCATTGCCCCCTAGAGTCAGGACCGACTAGCACCTATGTGCAAGGGGAACCATTACTTTTACCTAACCAATACTTGAGAAAAAGAAGCTGTAAGCTAAGAAATGGAGCTTTCTCCTCTCAGGCATCTTGGACATTCTAGGAAATAAAATTAAATCAACTCTGAAGATACCTTGTTCCTCTGAGTGACACTTTGATGACAAGTGTCACTTAAGAGGAAGAATGGGAAGTGTGACACTTGGAATTGGTCAGATATGGTTGAATACAGGTAAAGTCCTTGACTTAGGAAGAGCAACTGAGCCTGCCATTTTGGTCATAAATCTGGACAGTCGTAAAACAGGTCACTGTGGCTGCACCCAATTTTACGACACTGTTTTGTTTTGCTATGGGGGATTTTTCCCCAAGAAACTGGAAGCTAATTTTCCAGAAGGAAAATGCTGGAAATTGTGGCTACGGGATACTGCAAACGGTTATAAATGCATTGGAGGCTATTCAAATCTGTATTGTAAGTCTCTCTTCTCCTTGTAACTCTGAGCTAAGTGACTGGTCATAAGTCAAGTTCTACTTGTAGGAGTATTCCTACGTGTGAGATTCCCTTCTGCCAGAAGGACCAATCAAAAACAACCAATTGTATGATTAGATTAAAAGAGTTGGAAGGGACCTTGTAGGCCATCTAGTCCAACCCCCTGCCCAAGCAGGAGACCCTACACCACTGTCTTTTCTTGAAGGCCTCCGGGGATGAAGCTCCCACAACTTCTGAAGGCAACTTCTGTTCCATGGGTTGATTGTTCTCCCTGTTAGGAAATTCCTCCTTATTTCCAGGTTGAATCTCTCCTTTGTCGGTTTCCATCCATTCTTCCTTCTCTGATGCTTTGGAGAATAGCTTGACCCCCCCCCCCTTCTCTGTGACAGCCCCTCAAATATTGGAAGATGCTCTCCTGTCTCCCCTGGTCCTCCTCTTNAGGGATCACCGCGACCGTCATAACTATGAGTCAGTTGCCTAGCATCCAAATGTGGATCATGTGACCCTGTTGATCATGTGACCATGGGGAAGTGTGGAAAAATGGTCCTACACATCCTCCTGTTTCTACAATTAAAGGACAGCATCCAAAAAGTGTCGTATTTTTGGGAGTATAAGACACACCAACATTTCCACGCCCTTTTGGGGGGAGGAAAGGTGTGTCTTATACTCCCAAAAATACGACACTTTTTGGATGCTGTCCTTTAATTGTAGAAACAGGAGGATGTGTAGGACCATTTTTCCACACTTCCCCATGGTCACATGATCAACAGGGTCACATGATCCACATTTGGATGCTAGGCAACTGACTCATAGTTATGACGGTCGCGGTGATCCCTTTTGGCGACCTTCTGACCAGCAAAGTCAAGGGGGAAGCCAGATTCACTTAACAACCATGTTACTAACATATCAACTGCGGCGATTCACTTAACACACAGCAAGAAATGTCGTATAAAATGGGGCAAAGCTCACTGAACAAAAAGGTTTGGGCTGAATCACAGTTGTAAGCCGAGGACTACCTGAATTTATAACCTCACTTGGACTACCTGAACTTATAACTTCACTTGCTCTGATTCGTGCTCAGCTGTTCCGGTCACTTTCTCCTGTTTGCCATCTCTCTTGGTTGGCAAGCACACTGCACAATTTTAGACTGTAAGTTATCTGAATACTGTACAGAAGTCATTGTTTCATTATTCCATTTGCACTCAAGCACTTTTTCCACCTGCTATTGATTCCTACACAAAATACAACCCACAAACTAACAATTATCCTGCTTTTCCGCATAAAATACACAGCCAGGCGAACAAACTGTCCTTTACTTTCCAGAGCCATTCGGAAGCAGATCTGTTGCTTCGCTGGCAAAAAAAAAGAGAGAAAATGTGAGGGTGCTTTTTAAGCAAGTCTAAAAGTTATTCCTGTTCAAGATGTATAAGAAGAAACTTATCTATTAATAAAAGTCTATTTTGGCATAAATACAGCCCAAACTCCAAAAGGAAGTTAAGCCCTAAAACAATGATGGCTAACCTTTTCTGGACCAAGTGCCCAAAGCATGCACCCCCAAAACGCAATGCACGCCCCCATGCGCACGACTCCCACCCCCATGCGCATGACCCTCGCATGTACCAATGCATTGCACACAACACCCACGCATGCACCCCATCCCGCACGCATATGTCCCTGCCCTCACCCCCGTGAATGCACATAGGCCCCTTGCACAAGAGTGCATGCTCCACCTGCACGCACACCCCGTGCATGCATCCAAACCCTCCCACGCACCCCTGAGAGACCTGAAGGCCAGCTGACCGGCGGGAGGCATGCGCGCATGCACATCGGAGCTGAACTGGGGCGACAGCTCTTGTGCCATCAGAGAGGGCGCTATATGTGCCACCTCTCGCATGTGTGCCATAGGTTCTCCATCACAGCCCTAAAACTTAAGACTAGTACTATATATGGGGAAATATATGCCGTGAATCAAAGCAACGGAGAATTTAATTCATGACATGCGCTGTCCAATCATAAGGGATTCCCACCCCAGAGGACCCTCAAATTCCTAACATGTTTAAATATATATTATATTCTTGTTTAAATATATATTATATTCTTGAATATAATATATATTATATTCTTGAATATATATTATATTCTTGAATCAATAACTGTAGCAGAGCAGGAATCTCTACTGCTGCAGATAAGCTTATAAAAGTGACTAGATAAAGAAATACTATTTATCATATACTTCAATGCATCAGCTTCTAATAAGATATACAATTCTTCCTGATCAAGGTAAGATAGGAGGGAATTTTAATCAATGGATATGTAAATGTCATGTAGCTAGAACATGAAATGCAACAAACCAACAGGCAAAAGTTCTCAGTGCTTATTCGAATGATCTTAAAACTGCCAAAAACGACTTTCCATCATGAAGAGCATACCAGATAATTTAAGCTCTCTGAACCCGGTAGCAAATCAAATAAAACTCACCGACAGAATATTTATACCCGATCATGTCCTCTGTTTCAAATGGCTTCCAATATTCTCAATTTCAAAGCCAACTTGTCAAGTGCGTATTTACAATAGTCAGATGACCTGTGCTGTGTGCAACAATGCACCTGTGGGCTGTTTCAGTAGCAATTCATGGAGCTTTTTTGAAAGAAGTTTGAAGTCAACCCTCACTGGGAAAAAGAAGATGCTACGGACATTTGATGCTCCTGTGTTCAGTGGCGTGGAATGCTCACAATGAAGCACCTAACCGCCATTTGAATGACAGTTGATAGCACTTATATCATTCACTCCTCACATTTAGCCATGGAAATTGGGGGGAAAGCTTTATTTTATTTTTTAATATTATGAATAGGCCAAAAGAAATTCTCTGAGTATAGTTTTTTTTAACGTGCTACAGTAAAAACAGCAGCAATTGGGAAATGACTAATACCACTATCAACCCCCCCCCCACACACACACACACAAATATTACTGTATGTTGTTGTTAGTTGCGAAGTCATGTCCGACCCATCGCCACCTCATGGACAATGTTCCTCCAGGCCTTCCTGTCCCCTACCATCCCCTGGAGTCCATTTAAGCTGGACTGCTTCGGTGACTCCATCCAGCCACCTCCTTCTCTGCCGTCCCCTTCTTCTTCTTTTGCCCTCCATCGTTCCCAGCATGAGGCTCTTCTCCAATGAGTCCTTCTTCCTTCTCACTAGGTGACCAAAATATTTGAGTTTCATCTTCAGGATCTGGCCTTCTAAAGAGCAGTCTCCTCTAGGACTGACCGTTTGGATGGCCTTGCAGTCCAAGGGACTCGCAGTCCAAGGGACTCGCAGGAGTCTTCTCCAGCACCAGAGTTCAAAGGCCTCCATTCTTTGGCCCTCGCACCAAATTGTACAAAGCTTTAATTTTTAAGGTATCAGATTCTTGACTGGTGTTGATGAAACAGATTAACAGGCCTATCCCACTGGAAACTATTAAAACTCGTTATTAACTATTACTGGAAAGCAAAGAAATACTAAACTCACATCAACTTCAAACTAAACTCACATCAACTTCAAACAAAACAATATTACGATAAAACCAAACCAGAAGACTCCAAACTAAACAGTATTAAAATTCTAACATAGTGTTTAAACGGGAGTGGGTGGGTGGGTGTTTGCCCTGATGCCAGACATTAAAAGCAGCTCTTAGAAAGCAAGTTTTCTTAAGTTCTTCATAAGCCTTCCAAATAAAGTTTAGCAATGAAAGATTTCTCTCTCGCACAGTCATTTGCCAACCTGTCTTGTCTAGGGGGTTACCTGAAATTCTAGGCTTCGTTATGAGGATTTTAAAGAGATGATGTTAGCACAGCTGTCTTTTTTAACTTTAGGAAAGCATGTTCTTTTCTTCTGAGTCAAGGCCATGGCTTTTGGTATGTGAGAACTTGTTTGTCTGGCAATTAAACGACAGAAAGCGCATTCTGAACTGTCCTTGAACACACTTGCAAGATACAAACCCCCCGCTGGGAAAGACAGCAAGATCAACCCACAAATTTGCCACTCCTGGAAGTTATCTAGAATCAATGTTTACTATTGTTCAAACCTCACGT